TGAAAGTCAATGCAAGGTTTGGCAGGTCTGATCTGAGCGCAGACGACGCCAGACCGGGATCAGAAACGGTGCAAAAAGCAAAAAAGAAGCCTGTCAACTCTCTTTCAAGGCTCTCGCGAATAAAGACAGAAGAAAAAAAAAGGAGTTGGGGGATTTGGAAACAAACTACACTACATTCAATCTAGGTAACCTTGTTGCCCTAAAACGGCACCCGGCTGCGCTGCCGCGGGACTCTCGTGTGATTAGGCATGTAGTATGCTGTGACCTATGTATGTACATTATGCAGCTTCAAAAAGTCGAGCGCAATTACAGAGCTTGCCTCGGTCTGCTCTAGGTACCTTTTAGCGCTGCCTGTCACTATTTTTCGCCGTGACTCTCTCTCTCTCAGCGGAACCCCCGTCCCAACAGATAGACATGATTTGTCCACTGTGTGGCAGGAAGGTGGAAGTGTGTGTACGCCCTATCAGGTACCTAACAACTCGTGTGCATATTCCCCTACCCGCCAAGTCCACAGTCCCGGCCGTGGTCCCAGTTCCCAGTTCCACCACAGTCCCAGTTTTCTGGGAAAGTCCGGGGTGCCACGCATTTTCTTCAGGCTGTTGGTTGGGTCCAAGCTTCACAGCCCCAAGTCCAGAACGCAAAGAATAGTATGTCGGGTACCACAGTACCTGTAGCAAGAGGGCTCAAAGAAAGGCAGCCCGTCATGGCGCCAGACGACAGCCACTCATCAAACCAGGTACGTACACCCACGCTACCTACCTGTGTACGTACTTGGTAGGGCATTAAAAAAAAAGAGAAGAGGTTCCAGCCAGCCCGTGGGTCCCCCTTCCGTTACATAGTACGAAGAGAGAAGGAGAAGAATAATTAGAGAGGTTAGAGATCGACTTGATGATGTATGAGATGATTGTCAGGGGACCCGATCGAGGTTCCAGTTTACAAGGCAGTGTCCTCTTTTGCCTGCCTGCCAGCCTGCCACTCTGCCTGCCCGCCACCCCATCTTGCCCAGTATCTTGCATCTCTTGTGAAAATGGTTCATGGTTGAGCCGGTGCCAGATTGAGTTTGAAAAGCCGACGCTGTTTCCTACGGAACAATAGCACCGTATTTGGGAGACTGGGTAATCATAATGGAAAGACAGACATGCAGGCAGGCAGATGAGTAATGTAGCTAGCTAGCTAGGGCAGAGTATTTCGTACATTGAGCGGCGCAGAACAGAGTAGAACAGCACGGGCAGAAAGGAAAGAGAGTACGTATTCCGTATTCCGTAGGTCCTTAGCGCAGTCAAGTGTGCGTAAGAAGGTAAAGAAAGGCAACGCAACAAAGCTCGCAAAGCTGCTGCTGACCTCACACCATACGTCTCCTGCTTGGCGGACCTGCAAGCCTGCAAGCCTGCTGCAAGCTGCAAGCTGACCCATGGAGCGAACGGACGGCCGGCAGCTCGGTCGGTTGATCGTCTAGTCTGGTGGGTTCAAAGTTGCGTAGTGGGTGGACGGATCTAACGGGGATGTCTAAGGTTTGCTTGTCTAGACCAGGGGGGGCAAAGAGGGCAAGTTGCAAGCGGCCCAGAGGCCCTGCTCGGCCTGCAACACACAGGCAAGGGGGGATTGGATATAAAGGATCATGAACTTCCGGACTCTATGCTCCTTTCTTTTTTGGGGGAATTATCGAGATCTCAGTTCATAAGACAGCAAAGAAATCAGTTCTCCGGAAGATTTAAAAAGAAAGAAACACCCAAACAAAACCCGACTTTTACACAACCTCCCAAGTCACCTCTACCCTACACCTTTTTTTTTTCTTTTACCACCGGCGCACGGGAACTCCCCTTGTCATCGACTACCTGACGTCACTCGCCTACCATATACCTACAACTTCCTCGGCTTTATACGAGCAGCTTCTTTCAACTCTCTCTAAACACGACAAAAGACACGTGCAATTTCCACCAAACATCTTTTACACACCTACACAACATATACACATCTGCCAAAATGCATTGCTACTGCGCAAACTACTACGTACGTTTCACGATCCACGCCGGACGGACAGACATTTCCCGTCTTTGAATAACCACCTGAGCTTATGCTGACATGCATCTACAGGGCTCCGTCAACTGCCACAACAAAGTGTCCCAATTCGGCGACCGGTGTAGACTTTGCACAGTGAGTCCCCAATCCTTCCTCTTTGCCAAAGGAACCCCCCACAAAGAAGAAACCCCCCCCACGCTGACATTGTTTCCCACCCCCCAGGTCATGAATGAAGGCAGATCAGCACGCCTGGAGACAATGACGAGCGCAGCTCCCATGGCTTACCCCCACAGCGACTCTTCCCGGAGCGATTCGAGTCGGGAAGACCGGCGAGGTCGCGCTCGGGAGAGGAAGAGCAGGGGACATGTCAGACAACACAGCTGAACGGGAAGGTCAACTTGTTGTTGTGTAAACAAATGACAACCAGAAAGGGGGAGTCTTTTGTTGGAGCTTTTGTGTTTTTACATTGGGATATTGTTTCTGCGCGCGGTGCACTGGCGTTTCAATTTACAACGGCATCGAAGCCATGTACCATCATACGGATATGAGGTACTGAAATTCCACACGGAGAAGAAACGGCCATCTTCACTCTACTACAGGATGGGGGAACATATTGGGTTACCGGAGTTTAGGAACTACTTCGGGTCAAATCTATATCATATCACAGGGAAAAGAGATATAGAAGGAAAGAAAGAACGAGCAAGGCACATGCGAACAGAACTTGACTCGGGTCAACAAAAAACTTACCTTAATAAGTATCTAAAGAAAATACTACATTCGCAAATCAAACCATGGCATATTGACTAATCTAGACGATTTGTATGAACATGTTGCACGTGACACAATCGGGTGATCAGGTTACACAATCTCGATGCTTACATTGAATTAGCCCTCCCAATGTGTGTATTTCTGACAAAGATTAACTTCCCGGGCCCGGGCACATCTGAGGTAGATCGGCCTCCGAAACTCGAGCGAGTTCTCGATGCACATCTGGCGTCAGCTTCTGCGGTATCGCGTCAGCGGTATGGATGATAGCAAAAAAGGCAGGCTCGGCGCACTAACAGAGTCACACAAGAAGAAAAGGGCGGGATCGTGGGGTGGGAGAAGGATTTACATCAGCTCAAGTAGCTCCCTGCGGCTGGCTTGGGAAATCGTTCGATGTATGCAGCTCATCGGTGCTCCTAGGCGCGGTAACTTATCTACACGTGCTTGCATGCACTGGGCGTGGCGTCTTGTTGAATGCAACCACTCTGGCCCGTCAGCCTTGCCTCTTGCTAAGGAAAGTTGAAGAGTTCCCACCTACTAAACTTGAAGTTATTTGCTCGTTGCCATCAAAGTATACGCACATGGATTCCCTTTTTTTCTCATTGCAGCTCTTCTGTTTGCCATTACACAATAAAGAATAATGAAGAGACGACTCCTAGAGAACGATGAAACGAGCATAATACACTAACCCCACATAAGTCTCCGTACGGGTCAAGCCAATTTCGCGTTTATAACAACCACTTACGCGACGCGTTAATTTATTTTAATTATATATTTCTTAACCAAATTACGATAGATTTACGTTAATTTAGGACCGTTATAAGCGGAAATCGCGGCGCAAATTGTGAATTTATTTCGGAGGGCCGTATGGCCATTATAGCGTTGCGTACAGCCGGGAAAACCAGGCAGGAGGTCGCCGAAATAATAAAAACCGATAGGCTCCTAATTATATCGGATATTTTAAATACCGTATAGCGCCGCTAAATAAGCAAATCTACTCCTAAATTTAATGCCTTAAGGAAACTTAATTATCGCGTAAAACGACGGCTTATTATTTTAGCAAAAAAATATTTTCGCGCGACGTATACTAAGCTCCGGAAAGAACTAAGGTCCTCCGTATATACCGAAACGATTAAAAAGATATTATAACGGAACGGCTTAAAAAAATAGCGAGCTATTAAGCGTATTAAATTAACGAAGGAATCGGCGAAAAGGAAACTCGATTTCTGCCGAAAATATAACACTCCGGCCAAGCTATAAAAGCTCCTCCGTATATTATTTTCCGATAAATGCACCGTCTAAAATAATCCGGATAATCCGGAATAATAAATAATCCGGTATTCGAAAAAAAGGTATCGATCGGATTTAGTAAACCCCTAAAAATATATAAAACCCCGGATTTCTATTATAATTTAGGAAATAATTTAATTACGGGACGGGGAAAAAAGGAAATTCCCGCTAATTTTCCCCGAAAAAAATCCGGATATATTACGTAAAAGAATAAATACACAATCGTATTAAGCCGTCCTAAAAGAAAAATTAATCCCGTTATACGAAGCTAAAAATCCTTTTATATAAAATAATACCCGTATTTACGTTACGGGAGGAAATCCGCAATAGCTAAAAAAGCGTAAAATCTAAACCCTTAACTAGCCCCCTTATAACCCGGATCTTAACCTAATCGAGCACGTATAAAAGGCGCTAAAGGCCAAAATCCGTTAATTAAAACCTAATTTTTACGATTTTAAAAAAAACGAAGCCGATATCGAATAAGCAAAAGAATTAATTACTACCGCGTGGGCTAAAATCGACGAATAGTTTATCGCCGGCCTTATTAAAAATCTAGGCCAAAAGGTAGCAGCCGTACGCAAAGCACGTGGCTAGTATATATATTATTGATTTCCGTATAAAATGCATATTTTTTTATAATTTTTGAGTGTGATTTGAGTGAGAAACGTTATATTGAAGTATGCAGTCCGTATGCTATGGGGACCTCCAAACCCGACCCGTACGGAGACTTATGTGGGGTCATTGTAGGACAACGATTTAAAGTGGCATGATTGCTTATATTGAAGGTATAAGTCGGAACAGTAAATTAGACCCATTCGCCATGAGAATAACAGTGAAATGTTATTCCGTCGGAAGTTCTTGTAGAAGACGTCGCCACACTTTTCAAACTCGTATGCATGCCAACCGCTAAACCTCCGTAGACCTGCTCAATATATACCGGTGCTATTCAATTTGTAGCACTTGTCCTTTGGAATCGTCTCGCCCTGGTCCCACTACAGCGATCCGGAAAAATAAAGATGTCAGCGAGAAGACCACTTACTTTTTTTTTTTTTTTTTTGAATTTCCGCATTCTCGGTTGGACCACTTTAGAAGTAGTGGAAAAGACTTACATGCTCGTGAACACATCCGTCCAGCCATCGCCAGCGGTCCGTGGTCGAGTATTGCGCGTACGACATGTTGGTACTGGCATCAAAACACCACGTGGTATTCTGCTCCGTTCCGAGCTTGTTACCGCTACAAAAGATGGGCCAGATGGTGTTGGGGCCGTCGGCGTATCCGGGATGGTGTTGCTACATTGCGAAAAGAAGCGATATTTCAGTAAGTCATCCGACCGAGCTTTCGAATATATATTCTTATTCCATGTTTTGCTTTGAGAGAGGAGTAAAAGAAAAATTGGTCTCGCTCACCTTGTATGTCGAGTCAATGAGGGAAAACATGGTCTTGGGATCCCCGTCGACCACAAAGGCGCGGTAGAACTGGTACGCCCGTAATGCCGTCTCCTCGACCGTCACCGAAGCATTAGGCTGGCATAGCGCCGGCGGTGCGTTGAGGCTACACAGATTTTCCCTCTTGCCGTGACAACTGTCGCGTACGGCAGTGGTTGGGCTGAAGCTCGCAAGGTCATGATTCGCAGTAGCCGGAGCAGCAAAGACGGTGACTGGAGCCAGGAAGCCGGCACAGAGAAGTAAGGAAGACCTCATCGTTTCATTCGTGTTTTTTTCTGTTATTTTTCTTTTCGATTATGGAAGAGACCCCTATTGCACAATGCACGGAGCCCGAGTTGGCTATTTAGAGAAATTTTTCACATTGCTTTAAATATCCGAGGATTTTCACAAGGCCTCCTCCCGCCAAGATTGATAGATTGTCGATCTCGTAGATTGAACTATACGAGGTTCGGCTAATTGAGATTCCAAATGCAACCTTGGGCGCCGATTAGGACAGCGAGATCCGGTCTCTCCGCGGTTAAATCGTTTCCAGAGAACGGCACTTATAAATCTCTGTATTGATATTTGTTGCTGCGCTGTAAAAGAACAATTGTGATACTCGTAGAGGTCTTGTGATGGAGGAGCAAGAAGGGTTTGTCGATGACTCTGAGAACCATATTTGGTCAACTTGGCACAATACCCGACTTCCAGGGCAAAGAACTACAATGGAATAAGTTCGAGCTTACAAGGTCCAACGTATCTTGTGAACATGCCATGAATACAATGAGTCTACATTACCAGCATGCTGACAAATCCACCGTGTTCAAGTCCAAGTGCATGGTGATGAATAAAACAATGTATAAACCAGGGTGGCTTAGTATAAATGCTGCACTATAGCTGGATCATGCGACTGGCTGTATGAGCGCATGTCATTTATCGGGCTTTTCGAACCATGCTTGGCTTCATGCAATGATTTTTCCTATAATAATTTGCATAGTGATCATTTCACCGTCGAGCAATAGAGAAAATATCGAATTTTGAGTGAAGATGCGGTACGACTTTCTGACTATTGGTCGGGGCTTATTTGACTCCCCCTTACAACTTAGATTGACGAATAGGCAAGCATAACGAGATTATAATGGGTCCGCTCAAAACTTGTATTATATATACTATGAACTTGAATGCTCTCAAGTCTCTAATGTGCTTCTCTTTATTTCGTCCAAAGGACCAAGTTGGACGAGGTTCAGCAACAGGCATAGATTACTAATGGCGCAGAGCGGATGATCAACTACCAATACACCACAACTTTTGCATGTGATTCCAAAGTTCTTGTTCCTCCACCAAGACTACTAGAAGATACTGTTCAATCATCGAGAGACAGAATAGAGTCACCTAGCTGATGCGTTCATACAAAGGAAAGAAGACTATATCTTTGACAGTTTATCTGACCTTATCAGTGTGCTCAGTGGCCAACAGCGTCTCTTCCGATAAACAAATAGCCTTTGGTGGATGGGCTCTTGGGTGCCCATAGCTCGAGCTCGAGCAAGCCAAGAATAGGACAAAGCGCTGTTCAAAAGGATCGATGCAGGGGCTTGAGGCTCTAGGGCCCTCTATTGGTTCAGCAGCTTGGGGGGCAGATCAGGGCCCCCAAGCGACAAGACCCCTCATTGACGAATTGCGGCGGCGTTTAGCTGTGAACTAAAAATGCCTCCAGCTAAAGATATCGAGCATCTAGACCCTCGCTCGCAGCTAACAGAAATCGGTTCTCTTGTGCTTGTCGACTGTCTGGTGAACTCCTTTTTCTTTCTTCCTTTCCCAAGATGACGTTTCCTCTGCCTCATCAAACACGACACTTTGATGTATCATGGCCTGACGAACCATCTCCTTGAGTCTAGTTGAAACGTATTCTTGGCCAGGTAGGGGTTCGTGGCTTGGGGTCTTTATCCAATACTTACGACGTCGACGACGAGATCAAACGAGACGATAATCTTTTGACCCACCCGCGACGCACCCTCAGACAAAACGAGTCGAGCCACTGCGAGAGGCTCCAGTCAGTCGCATAAAGCCTCCTCCCTCGAGCGCGAGTCGTCGTCTTCTTCTTGTCCTTCTCGAGCTGTTGTCCCAGCCGAGCTTTTTATTCAGTGTGGTGAAAAGCAGTCATCGCCTTACTGAAGAGCTCAAAGTCAACCATGCCGACCGCCCTCGATCCCGTCATTGCCCAGGCACTGGCCTCGGGGCCTGGCTCCAAGATTCCATTCCGAGGACGAACAGATCACGTCCACACCACCTGGGCCAAAACCTTTTCATGGATGCCCGAGCTCTTCATACAGCCCGAGAGTCTGGAGGAGATTGAGCACATGGTCAATGTCGCGCGGAAATGCCATCGTCGAATCACCACCGTCGGCTGCGGCCATTCGCCCAGCTCCATAACCTGCACGTCGTCGTGGTTGGTCAACCTGGACAAGTACAACAAAATTTTGGCTTCGGACAAGGACAAGGGCATCGTGACCATGCAGTCGGGCATCCGCCTGTATCAGCTCAGTGCTGAGTTGGAAAGGCTCGGTCTGGCCATGCCGAACCTCGGAAGCATCAACCACCAGAGCATTGCGGGTGCCATATCCACTGGAACTCATGGTTCCAGTCTCCGTCACGGTTTGCTGTCGGAAGATATCCTCTCCCTTCGCATTACTCTCGCCGATGGCACCACCAAAAAGTGCTCGCCTACCGAGAACCCGGAGCTGTTCCGGGCGTCGCTGATATCTCTGGGCGCACTGGGTATCATTACGGAAATCACTTTCAGGGCAGTGCCTGCCTACACTTTGCACTGGAGGCAGATCATTGACAAGGATGTCAAGATGTTCAACAGATGGTCCGGTGACCTCTGGACGCATGCGCACTATGTCCGTGTCTGGTGGTATCCCTACACGCGCCGCGCTGTAGTCTGGTCAGCTTCCGAGACGGACGAGGCCCCCCGCGATCCTCCGGTTTCCTACTACGATGGCGCTCTTGGTTACTATGTCTACCACAACCTGCTCTATCTTGGCCAGTACTTTCCCAAGATCCTGCCTTGGGTGGAGTGGTTCGTCTTTGGTATGCAGTATGGCTTTGCCAATGGCACCACCACGGAAGCAATTCAGCCCAGCGCCAAGGCCCTGCTCATGAACTGCCTGTACTCGCAGTTTGTCAATGAGTGGGCCATCCCTCTGAGCAAGGGCCCTGAAGCTCTCCGCCGACTCAGCAGCTGGCTGAACCACCTTACCCCTGATGACCCTGACTACGTTCCTCACAATATCCCATTTTCTGCCGAAGGCCTCTACGTTCACGCCCCGGTGGAAGTCAGAGTCAGCGATACCTCCAACCCCGAGCTCGACTCTGTCCGGTCCAACACGAGCCCGTACCTTGATGTCACAAACCACGATGAGCCAACGTTGTACCTGAATGCTACCCTCTACCGGCCATACCATGCTGACCCTCCCTGCCGAGCGCGATACTATGAGGCCTTTGAGTGGCTCATGCGTGATCTCGGCGGCAAGCCTCACTGGGCCAAGAACTTTGAGGCTGACGGACGGCAGATTGAGAAAATGTATGGCCAATCGCTCGAAAAGTGGCGCGACATTCGTGATGATGTCGACCCAGATGGCATGTTTGTTGGACCGTGGCACCGCAAGTTTGTTCTCGGCCACAGCCCCAGACTACCGTTTGAGGAGGTTGAGATTTCGGAAAAGCCCAAGTGGAGTGGAGGCATCGAGTATAAGGGAATCACTGCGTCTCAGATCAAGGGTCCTAATGACCCGTGAGCAGGTCGTGTTGTTAGATGCAATGATATATGAAATCTTGATTCGCGCCTGAGAATAATCTGAAAAGTCAATTGTTCAATTCTTGGACAGCGTTCTCGATTCAATTCAAACAAGGTCTGCGCCCGATCGATTGAAAGTCGATTTGATAAGTGCAGGAGATGTGAATATGCGCGAGATTCCCTACGAGGACTATACATATCAAGCTGATCTGTAAATTACATAAACTACTTTTATATACAAATAGATAGTGATCTCAAGCGCACTGCCATTCAAATCTACTTCAAGGTATCTCTCAAATGATGGGGAGAATTACGTGGTTGCTACAAGAATTGATGAGTGTCTCTTTTCATCAGCAGCATATGTACCTCTGCAGAATTCCTCTCACGCAAAGCAAAATTTTATGCAGTTGCAATTTTCCTCGTGCTCGCATACTTGGCCTAATGACTGTATGCGTGCTAACTAAAAGTGCATTAATCCCAACAAAGCATTGACACCGAGCAAGACATGGAATGATTATGAATATATCATTATATCTATATGTCATTCTACAGAGCTATCCAAGCCCTTCTAGGACGTAATTTGTACACCCAGGATGAAATTTCCTTATTTTCTCATGCCGACATTGTCACTTGAGGCTGCTCCTTGGCTCAAATCGGGAGCCAATGACAAGTCATCTTCGTCGCCCCCGAGCAAGAGCCCGCGGGACTCGCCACCGCTCTGTTTCGCCTTGTGAGCCGCCCATCTCTCCCTTCTCCTCCGGCCGAGATCGACGCCATTGCTGTTGCTACTGCTCCTGCTCCCGCCAACGCCGCTACTGCTACCGTGTCTCCCACTCCCCCGGGAGATCCACCAGCACCAGTACAGCGCCCCGCTGCCAATAACGGCGAGCGCCGTCGCCGGGTAGGCGTAGTAGGTGATGCCGGCGCCCTCGCCCTGGCCATCAGCGGGCGGGACCCAGGGAAAGACGAGCAGGAGGCAGTTAAAGAGGGCAAAGACGACCACGGCGCCCGTGCGGGCGCGGTACGGAGAAGTCCACCTCTGCTCGCCGCCCGACGACGACGGCGAGGGCCGGTGGTGGCGGAGGTAGAGCAGGCCCAGACTAATCGCCACGGAAATAATGGAGACGGGATATCCGCCCAAATCGACCAGGAAGTTGTATACTTTACCCGGGGGCGGCACAATAATAACTAGCACAGACACTGCCCAGTGGAGTAGCAGTCCCCGGCGGGGAACGGTCGGCTGCTCATGAATAGTCGGGGCCACCGGGGTTGCTTTGGAAGACGGGCCTATTGGCGGCTGTTGTGTCTTCTTGGTTGTCCAAAATCCACTCAGAGGTAGAAGCCCATCCTTGGCCAACTCCTCATTGACTCGAGCCTGCGCAAAGGATGTGGCTGCAATATTGCCTGCAGCCGATATAATAATAAATAGTGGCAGAATGTGTCCGCCGACAACCTCGCCAAACAGATTACGGAAAAATGTGCCAGCGACAATGATTCCAGACGACCGAAAGTCCTCCTTGTCAACGACGAGAAAGAAGGCCACGTTGAGGGCCAGGTATGCAAACGAGACGATGCCGAGGGCAGCGGGAGCAGCGACCTTGAGGGTCCGCACGGGGTTCTTGACGTCCGAGAGCACTTGATTGGCAGTACTGTAGCCGCGAAAGCAGTAAATCACCTTGAGCAGCGCCGTCGCGTAATCATATGGTTGCGCAGAGCCGCCGCTCCAGATATTGCGAAAGTTTCTCTGCGCCGTGCTGAGCGTCCAATCGCGGTCCATGGGCAGATCAAGTCTGCGCCCACCGAGTTGATTGCCTTGCAAATCTTCCACGCGGCCGACGCCCCGTAGGCCCCCGACGGCTCCGCATATAATCACGAATGCTATAATGAGCAGCTTGGCGACGCCGAGTATGTTGATTACGCGCAGACCGGCCCGCGGGAACCGAGCATGGGCATAACATAGGGCCGTGACCGCGAGCACCGCAATGGCCCGAACATTCCACCTCCCTGGAGATATACCGAGGGCGTACATGGCATAGTCGCCCAAGACAATGGCGTTTGGGGCGGAGAAGCCAAGAAGCACGGCATAGGCAGCAAACATGCACGTGGCGAGCATACGCGGGCGGCGAAAGATGCGCTCGAGGTATACGCGCTCGCCGCCGCTTCGGGGCATGGCTGATCCAAGGTCCATGTAGACGGCCAGGCCGCAAAAGGAGATGACGCTGCCGACTGCCCACAGCAGCAGCGTCATGCCGACGGAACCCACGCCGTCAAAGATGGCCGGCGGTATCGTATAAGCGCCGACGCCTACCGTCTTACCCACGATGATGTTGATGGCGGAGACGACGCCGAGCTTGCCTTCATCCTGCCTTGGCTCGTACTGTAGTGCTATGGATGTGTGCGGCGGCACGAACCAGGTTTGGTCTGCCGGCGAGTAGGCTGTATAACTCGAGCCATCATCGTCTACCTCGAGCGCCGATTTTGGACCGCCATTGGTTCCCTTGGACGCTGATAGCGTCTCTGCGCCCAAATGTAGAAACCTCGGAGGCGCGAGGCTCGATCCTTCACCAAATCTTTCGATACTCCGAGCATGATCTCCTCGCCATGTCTGTGTCCGGGGCGACAGCGGGGACCTGCAGCTCAGCTGAAAGGAGCTGTGTAGTGGCGAGGCTGCGCTGGAGATGGCATCGCTAATGGACAGTGGGTAACGCCGACCACTCGAAGGCGAGTCCAGAGACAAGGGAGATGGCACCATAATGGCGTGTTTTGGTGGTTGAGGCTAACGGGCCTTTTGGGGGGAGGGCCCCTGGGCCTGAGGGCAACTGACTGAGCAAGTTTTGCGCCCTTTACAACAAGACAATGAGAATGTTTGAGAGTTGTGATTTAGGGTAGTTCTATGGGGCCAAGGTGCATAATGTGACAGCGAGGATGGAACAAGAGGAGAAGGACAGAGTATGAGATGCAGTATTCTCGAACCACGAGATAATCTTCCAATCCACTTATTGTATCATGTCTTGGGCTGTTTATTGTAGAAAAGGATAGTACCAACGATGATGTTTGACAAGAAGAAAGAGATGATTGCCATGAAAATAAATGTCGAGCAAACTGTCGGTAGATCCGGGGGAGGATTGCATGCCTACCTACTTTCTTGTTTCCCTTTTCTCTCCTATCTGATCCGCTTTGGCCTGTCAGTTTGATATTGTCCATGGGATATACAATCTCTGGACTATAGAGTTCGTGTGCCCGGAAGGTTATTAGAGCCGGCGACACTCAACACATCAGCGCAACGTCAGTCGGTTCATAATGAGTGGTGTATAGACTTTGTAGGCTTGGTGGATCTTGGCATGATCGACGTTTGGAACATGGATCCCGAAACCCGGCGATGATCATCTTTGCAATGATTGGGCACAAGTGATGGTTAGGATGGGCAAGGGGTTAAAGATTGATTGGCGGTCAGCGTGTGTTGACAACTAGAGGCCGTTAGCTACCCGTACCTTTTCTCCATACTGCAAAAGGAATGCTTTATTCCCGGACTTGTAAAGAGAAACCACCTTGTAATTTTAGATATCTCACGCCCTGGAGAATCCCCTGGTGAGTTGTCCATATTTGCACTTTGTAGGCAGAGAAGGAAATGGGAAGAATTGTGCAAAAGATGATGGTTGCCTCCTCTTGGCACAGTTGCCGTCACGAAGAGGCCAAGAGTGAAACCAGGCTAGTGGAGGGGCAGGGCATTTCCACTAAGAACCCCCCTGGCGACCGTTGAGATCGTCATGGAACCGAAAACATTGACTTGTTTCATGCTTGGCAGAGTGCATTTCGATTTGCTGGGACAAAGAAGGTAACCAAGTTATTGGGCTATTCATAATTCTTGTTTAAAGTCTGATGCTCTGCCAGCTGCATCAAAGGGAAAAAAAAAACTTCATCATTAGCTGGCAAACACAATTGATTGGGCAAGATCTAGTCATATTGTACAGAAACAGAAAAAATAATGGTATCAATTTAAAAAAAAAAAAACACAAATATGACATAATGCTCCCCTTTACTTCAATGGATGCACCACCATTGGAGAGAAAAGAAAGAAACCAAGCCATCTCTTCCGCCTCATGGGCGTCCATTACAGATTACACAAGATCAAATGGCCCACGTGTGGTTCGCATACACGTCTTACACCACTTTACATATTAAAAGCCTATTTGTGGCCTTGCAGATGCCATTGAAAGACCTTTTCAAACAATGGCTTGCCGTTACCAACCATGGTCTCTCCGTGGCACGGGATTATGGTCACAAAGTCCCACGAGTTGATGCGCGATATGCTCTTGTTGAAGGCGGGACGGTCGGCCGAGCTCATGGCGTACCACAGGAACCGCTTGAGACCCTTGGCCTCGCCCTCGGTGCTCTGGATGCTGTTGAAGAACTTGTTGACGAGGCCGTGCGAATTCCTCTCGGCCTCGGGCACGCGCGAGTACTGCTCAATGGCGGGGAGGTTGAACAGGAGATCGGCCTGGATCAAGATCTTTTCGGGCTTGAAAAACAGCACAATCTCCTTGTTGGGATGCGAGTCCAGGTATTCAACGTCAAAGTTGGCGGCAAAGTCGGCGTCGATATTGTTGTCCTGGTGGTTCTCGGGCGTGTAAATAAAGCTAAACTTTTCCTTGCCAATCTTTTCGTCATTTGCCTTTTCACGCTTCTCTGGCAGGCCCTTGGGTCCGATAAGCTTGGCGCCGGGGAACTCCTTGGCCCAGTCCGACAGAAAAATGTGGTGCTCAATGTCGGGGGCGATAAGATAGGCGACTTGCCCGCCCATTTCTGAGACCTTTGCCTTGACTTCTGGCGTGAGTGCGACAGGCGACACTACAGCCAACGAGCCCGAGGTAAGGCGTACTGCACATGGCGGACCGTTAGCCGGTTTGTGTCTTCTTTTGGGTGTTGCGAGACGGGAAGAGAAACGAATGTGCCTGATCTGACTCACCTATGGTTGCACGACCGCCCACGCGGATCATGCCAAATCGTGCAAATGGTACAGAGAGTGTGACCACATTCGGTGTGATGTCGCGAATGACCATCACTTCCGACGGTGTCTTTGGGATAAGCTTGTTGGACATGGCGAAAGATCGAACGTTGATGTGATTGGGGTATTTTGAGCTCAGTCGCAACGGGCGCACAACAGCAGTAGACAATATAGCCTGATGAGTTGGTCTAAATGTAGTATGACGAGTAGTAGGAGTCTGAAGTAGGTGACGGCGGCGGGTGTTTGGGATGTCGCTTGTTATAATAGTAGATGTTGTTGCGACAAGTTGAGAAGATTCTCGAAATGGCAAAGTGATCAGTGCAGAGAGGAGGGAAGAATGGGATGATGTTTGGCCGGTTGTCGTGAAGCAGGACGGGAGTCGCGGATATATGGGCATCCTCGACATTTAATTATAATGTAATGTAGATAACTGCCTTGTCTGGGGGGGTACGTCTTGGCCTAGGTGGCAGAGGCCGGCTCTCGATGGCGTGACCTTTTCTTGGATGGTTCCTGACCTTTTCCTTCTGCGTATGCACGGCCGAGGATGACCAAGAATAGGTAGGTAGGGAGCGTATTGCAAATGATGAACGAGGCGATACCGAGGCTACCTACCAGCGGAATACTACTACTGCACTACATTACCACGCTGCTTTGCTTAAATTTGGCATGCATGGCAGATGATTTGACTGGCTTTGGAGCTAAAACTGACCACAGCCGCCATCAGCCCTGTGAGAAAGGTGCGTAATCGATTCCCCAGGGGCATTCTAGACAAAGCCGGGCCCTACTCGAGGTGCGGACTTGGTGCGGCTGCATGCTGGGCCATCTGAAGGGTACTACCGAATGCAGGCAATGAACCCATGACATCACTGTAAATTCTGGTAAATTCTTTCACTACCGGGCAGCCTTCGGGTTCCCTGGGCGCAGAGTTGGCTGCTGTTTCGGGCACTAAGCAAAGGCCGGCAACCCGATTCTAGTGGAGTCGGGTCCCAGCTTATCACCAAGCAACATTTCCATCGTCTTCAAATTTTGCGATTTGGAATCTTTCCCAACTGACAACGAATGCGCTTTTCAAAGAAACTCCTCCTTTTCCGCACCATCGTCCGCATTACAAAGTCCAAAGAAGATATTCGGAAGCGAACTTCCATTTCTGGAATCAGACGTGCGGGAGGCGACCGAACTTTGTTTGGTATCAGGGACGACACAACAGGTGACATCTGACATTCGACCCGCTTCCACTTACGAATTTGTCTGATGATCATCTCGGATCTGTCATTCACACTACTAGGGTACGACTCAAAAGGGGGAAGGGAAAATCGACTGCATAATATTTCGTCAAATCCAACGAGCGATTAAATCTATACACAGTTATACTAGGAAACACTCAAAAGGAAACCCAATATGATAATCCAACCCTTCTTCCTTTTCCTCCCCAAATCTCAGTAATTGTCTGATCTATACAGCTCGACGCGCCCCGACAATTTTCCAACATGCCACGGCTTTGTCTTTACAATATCTTCATTTCAGGTAAAATGCCTTGATATTGAGAAGGACAAAGATGGCAATCTGCCACCAGGCGGTCGGATTGTTGTAGTTCCTGTCAACAATGTACAGTGATCGAGATAGAGCATTGGCCTCGGACCACTCTGCCTTTTGTCGCTGCTGGGAGACAAAGGCAAATATGAAAAAGGCAATGGACGCGACCAAGACCCAAATCAGCCAGTCGCACGGGGTGCATGGGAAGCAATAGCAACATGTCTCGGCCAACGCATCCGCTCCGCCTCGTGTGCGCGGTTCCGTGAGCGCAGTTCCCGGGGATGTCTCCGTTTCCGTTTCGGCCCGGGTCTTCTGGCGCTCATCAAAGAGCCTCTCGGCATCTGCAGCGTGTGGTGAAAGTTCAACCACGGCGGATATCTCGAAAGCCTCGTTCGCCAATGTGTTGCCTGCATTGATCTCGTTGATTATGCCGCCATACTTTTCCAGCTCGCGCTCGAGAATGGCAATCTGCTGTCTTGGTGCATCATCAGAAGGAGGTCCGGACACGGCGGCGGCATCCGTCCGAGCCGCGTCGAGTCTTTCTTGGAGTCTGCGTCGGTCGGCCTCGAGCGAGACATCCATGTCCTCCAAAAAGCCCGGGTTGAGCGCCATACCCTCGTCGATCATGCGGCGCTTCTTGGTCTTGTACGTTGCGATGGCGGCCTGCATCGCGCGGTAGTACCGGAGCAGGAGCCGTCCAATTTCCACGCGGGCTGCCATGTCTGGATCGACCGGTCTTGCGTCCGATGATGCAGACTTATTTTGCTTTTGCTTCTCGATCAGCTGCTCCTTTTCCTTGAGCAGCTCCTCACTCTTGCGGAGCGCCTCCCGGAGTTGATCTTCGGTCTGCCCCAACAGCTCCTGCTCTTTGAGTTGTTCCCGATTTTTGCGTAGCTCATCCCGAAGCTGAGCCTCCTTGCGCTTTACTCTATCCAGTGCGAATTGAGCCTCCTTCAGCTGGTTCCTGGATTCTTGGAGCTCCTCGTTGTCCTCGGCCTCGGCCTCGAGCTTTTCGTTCTTTTTAATCAATTCCTGATTCGTGACTTCCAATATCTTGACCTTGTCTTCCTCTTCCTTTAACTGTTTTACCCGTACCTTGACCCTCTCTTGAAGTCTCCAACGTGTGCCACGCAGCTTTTCGATCTCATCCTCCATCTCTTTAGCCTGGCCTTTCAACTCCTTGATCGCTTTGGCGCTCATCTGTCTCTGCATTTCGGTGACCTCTGGACCATAGACATGCTGGTTGTTTTCTCGTTTCAGTTGCGCAATTTCTTCTTGGAGTTTCTCAATATGTTCCTTGTTCTTCTCCTCGAGCTTCTGTTGACTGGCTTTCGAGGCATTGTAACTGGCGGCCGTCTCATCTTGCTTTCTCTTGAGGTCGCTAATCTCCTTTCGTAGGATAGATGTTGCCTGGTACCAATCATCAAAGTTGCCTCCTGTCTCGGCTTTCTTCTTGAGGTCGCTAATTTCCTCTTCTAGGAGAGCTGTTGCCTCTTTCCATTCCTCATGGAGCTGTGCATAAGCCGAGCCCCGCAAGCGCCATTCATTCGTCTGTTCGTTGAGTTGATGTTGCAACCTGCTCAAAGCAACCCAGTCTTTCTTGGAATTATTTGTGATCCGACGGACTGTAGATTCCAATTCTTCAATCTTCTTGTCCTTTGCATCGCTATCGCCAGAGATTTGATCATGATTGCCTTTCAAATCCTCGAGCTCCTGGTCCAGTGACTTTTGTCGGACGTTCACCTGCTCGAGCTGCTTCTGCAAGTCTTCAATCTCGTCTGTCTTTGACATGTTCTCGGCCTTGATGTTGGCGTATCTGAGTAGCAAGTCGTCATGCTTCTTCTTCAGATCATTAAAGTCTTTGGTTAATGACTCTTCTTTAGCAGTGAGGTCAGCGAGCTGCGTTCCCAGCTCTTGAAGTCGCTTCCTTCTGTCATTATTTTCGCTCCGGATATCTTCATACTTATCCATCACGTCGTAATTTTCTTGTTCCTTGTCGCCGTTTTCTTGTGCAAGTTTTTCATTCTCTACCACCAAATTTGCAAAATCCTCCTCTGCTACTTCCAGCTCCTTTTGCAATTCAGCCAGCTGCTTCTGCAACTCGCTAATCTGTTGCGATTCTGATTCGGAGAGCTGGTTCTTCAAGTCATTGATGGCGCCTTCGCTCTGCTTCTTGAGCTCGTTGTGGGTGTTTTGCAGAGCCTTGAAGGCGTCGCTCGCCTTTTGGTGTTTCTCATTGAGCTCAGCAATTTCCTTCTCCAGAGCCTCAACCTGCTGCTGCTTCTTCTTCTGGTCGTCCTCATTCTCCTTCTTTTCTGCGTCCTCTTGAGATTTGATCTTTTGGATGAGGTCGCTGTTCAACCTCTTGAGACCGTCAAGATGCTGAGAAGCCACCTTGTATTGGTTTTCTAGCTCGTCACGACTATCTTGTAGCTTCTTGAGCTCTTCGCTCGACGACTCTTGTTTCTCGTTGAATTTGGCAATCTTTTGTGTCAGATCGTTGATCTGATTCGTCTTGTCCGTGTCTTGTCCCTGGGCTTGGCTATGAGCATCTCTCAGCTTCTTGAGTTCTTCCTCCGATGCGGATTGATCCGCGGTGAGCTTGGAGTTCAGGTTCTTTAGATCGTTGATCTCCTTGTCAAGCTTCTCCGCATTTTGGGCCTTGAGACCCCGCAAGCGAGCAATTTCTCCCTCAAAGGAACTCTGGATTGTCGTTACAGTGTCTGCCACTGCCCTCTCAGATCCAGCGCCTCCTGCGGCTCTTTCCTTGCCCTCGAGCCACTGCTGAAGGCCTTCGAAGGGAAAGTCAAAGACAGCCCCGTCTTCATTTTCGACATGGTTGTAGCCATAATGAGAAACGAGTGCGCCCAAGGTCGCTAGAAGTTTGTTCTCGTTATCAACCGTTTCCACCGGCTCCTCAAAGGGCTCAAAATCCTTCAATTCGCGGTGGTTGGCAACTTGGCGCAGTATGGGCATTACATAGTCCCTGCGTAGCCGCTCCTCCCGTGAGCCCCCGGCGTCGCTAGCTGCCGGGCTGGTGTCTGTGGGTGAGGTGCTTGGGCTGCTCATGTTCATGCCGTCCAGTTCAGCCGACAGGGCTGAACCCCCATTAGATTCGGAAGAAGACTCGGTGGGGCTTGTACTGCGACGCGCACGTCTTTCGAGCTCGTTGATGCGTGTCTTTGCTTCTTGAATCTCTTCCTTCAAATCCTCATGGCTCTTTCGTTCAGCCTCGAGTTTCTGCTCGGCCTCCTTGCGTTGTGTCTGCTCCCTCTCGAGCACGGGTTGAAGTTTGTCAGCCGCATCTTGAGCTTGTTTCATTTCCTCCTTGGCTCTGTCTCGCTCGTCTTTGACCGCTCGTATTTCGTTCTCTATAGTATCATATTGACGCTCATACTCGGCCTTGTCCCGCTTGACATTTTCGAGCTTGTCCCTCTCGCTCTTGATTTCAGCATCTTTCTGATCTAATTGTTCCATGGCAGTGTTGAGTTCCTTTTGATGTACGGCCTTTTCGGTCTCGTGAGACTTTTTCAGATCTCTCACCTCGTCGGCATGATTTCTTCGAGTAATCTCGTCCTCTTCTTTCTGCTCATGAATCTCTTTCGCTTGCGCCTGGATCTTATCCTTGAGCTTCGTGATGGACTCCTTGAGATTGTCGACTTCTTCGTGATATCCTTGGTTACTATCTGCTTGTTCGCGCAGTTCCGTCTTTCGATCTTCCCACTCTTTGTAGGACACGCCGGCCCATTCCTTGTCCTTGATCTGCCCGCCAATCCAATCATTCACATTGGACTCAAAGGACTTGAACGCGCGCTCGCAGACGCCTTGAATGCACCTATTAAGCCATTCACTAGCCGTCTGTTCGACTTCCTCCTGAGTCGTCAGGCCCGTAATGGCCTTGTAGAGTTCTTGGGCAGCGGACAGACTCTCGTCGTCGCTGAGGTTCTTGAGCAAGTCCTTTCTCCATTCCTGACCAATCAGCCCTTGTGGCTGTTGGAGGGCATTGTTAAAGTCCTGCTGGAATTGCACCGCCATGGTTGTGGAAACAATGGAGGGGTGCCAGCAAGTCAGTTGGGGGAAAGAAAAATTAGTCGTGAAACCTGCAAAGATCAAGGCAAGTCGAGGTAATTACAATCATGAAGGGGAAAGGGGGGTTTGCTCGAGTAGCTAGTCATGGAATTTTGTCGCAATTGCATTACAAAGAATACGTGCAAAATCCGCGTTCGGGAGCTTTCGTAGGGGAGGATCGTCTTTGTCTTGCCAGAAGCATCGAATCCGTTGTAATGGTTTCTTTCTGTCTCTTTGGGCAGGCTGTCTGAAGCAACTTCCGCAAGCGAACACTCAGTGCTTTTCGCGTTATGTCGTTAATGTATTGATGCTAAAGAGTTGGAAATCATGGATATAGATGTTTCCTCAGGGATCTTCTGTCAGAGCCGGGGAGACTTTTTGCGCTGTATTCTTTGTACTCAATCATTTCAATATCCAGCTAGCTTCAAAGAATTACTCTACTCATTTGTTATTGTCCGCAATTCGGCCGTGCTGAACATGACCTTTGGTAATATCGACATGCTTCCACAATCTCGGTCAGTTGCAAATTGCTACGATGAGAGGGCGTAATTAACCAAGACGGATTTCCGGGAGCTTTGCTACGTTTTTTCAACAAATGCAATCCCAGGCAAGTCTGTTGTATTACTCTGTGCACACTGGAGACGCGACAACCGTATGGAATATTTCTTCAAATCGAGCCCTTTGCTACAAGGCACGACAAAGCGCGCAATAACCCTTCTTCCGTACAACGCCGCGCTAATGGTACTATCGAAAGGTCCTATTAAACAACAAAACATTCCTCCACTGACTAATTATGCCAATTGCGGGAGCCATAATCATCATCACCCTGGGTTGTCCTGTGCTCGATGATGGATTTCTTGATGTCATAGGCGTCAATAATCGCGTTGTATTGAGCCTTGTCCAGATGGAGGATGGCTTGGTGCTTCTGAGAACCATTTCCCTTAGAATTGCTCTCGCCGCGTTCACTCGTATCCAGAGGTTCTATATTTCATGTCAGCTCCACGCGCCTGTCAGTACAGAAGGATTCAACGTACCCAAGGTTGGATGGCCGTCTTCGTCAAACTCGAGCTTCATTCTCTCGTCCTTGATGAGAAAGCTGACGTAAAAGATGTTCTCTACTGTCTGCCCGAACGATCGCGGGTTGATAACGCACTTGAAGTAGTCCAAGCCGCCTGTGGATTTTAAACCATACGAGTCCATCATAGCCTGTACCTTTTCGTTCACCTCGTCTTCTTCACCAGATGCGTCATCGAACACCTTTTCAGCCGCAGTTTGCGCTTCTATTTGTACCGATGTAAGGCGCTTGTAAATCTTGCCGCATATGACGGTCAAATCGCTATCCTCTTTTCTCTGAATTTCATTGGCGTCCACAACCTCGGGCCTTGTCTCCCTCAAAGCGCCAGGTCGGAAGGGTGCACTTCGCTTGGCAATCTTGCGAATCTTTTTCTCAACAGAGAGAGGGCCAAGAAGGAAGCCGGACACGGCAGAGCGGCGGATGCTGGGCAAAGAAGAAAACCTTCCGAGATGCTCCCAGTTGCAGAGATCGCCATCGTCGCCAATCTCGTCCTCGTCATCGGACTCTTGTCGGTTCCGTCTGCCGGGCTGCCTGCGCTGGCGTTGGGTGCTCGTAAGCTCTGGAGCCGTGTCGTCTTGAATTCCGGCACCGAGTCTCATGTATCGCAGAGACTGGGTGACGAAGCTGTCAATGTCGACGCCCTGGCCGGCATCTCCAGACGTGAGCAAAGCCGTCTTCTTGTACGACAGCTCGACTGTCTCGACCAGCAGCCTGGAATCAATGGCGGCTTCGGCAGTCTGCTTGACATTTCCAGATAGCGCATTTGCTCGCTGAATCAGAGCTCGCACGCCGTCCTCGCCGGGTTGCAGGTACTTGTCCCTGTTGATCCTCGCATCCTCTCGCAGCTTTCTCAGACCGCGCTGTACTTGGCGTCTTTCCTCAATGGGCTGGTCTGGATCGTACTCATCTGAGTCGTTGCCGTCCGCAACATCGTCGCCGGAGGCCTCGCTGGCCTCCTCAGTGCGGCGACGAGAGTTGGCTTTTCCCGAGCCATTGGTCAGGCCGCGCTTTCTCTTGGAAGACTCTGAAAGACGGCTGTTCTTATCCCTCGAGTTGGAGGAGTACTGACTGTTCTCCTTGTCAGATCTCCTATCCGGGGAGATGGGCGAGGAGGGAGTCGACGACATGGCGAAAGTCAAGTCCCAGCCACAGAGACTCTAGACGATGCGCGGCGCACAACAAACGCCGGGTATCTGTGATGGCAAGACAAGATGTCACCAAGACAGATACGCTGTGGCTCCAAAGTATCGACACGGAAGCAATCTCGGTACAACGACCAGAACACACCTGCTTGATTCGCCCAGTGGTATTGGATCTTTTGGTGGCCTTCAACAGATCGCGTCGCTAGTCTTGGCGAGACGCGACTTTTAATTGATTGCGCTAGAGGTTGTGATTGTGTGGGCCGGCAGAGTGTGGGAAATTGATGGGGACTTAGTGTATTTAGTATAAATGAACGGATCTGGCTATATGGGTTTAGTTAAATAAAGTGCATAAGACCTAATTGCCTCCTACAGCCTACCGGAAATAGCCGTTAAGCCGGAGGTCCCGGGGTCTGATGCTTTTATCCGTTAAAACGAGAGTTATACCTATTATTTTAGTTAAAGTTAATTTTTTATACGCCTTTTATAACGAGCGATTTAATCGAAATGAAAGGATAAGCCTTATTGCGATAATTTGTGGTGTAGTTTGTAGTTAAATAGTGGTGACTATACCTGTGGTTAGGTTATAATTTATTATACCTAGTAAATGCACGAAATGCTTAAAGTCTTTGGGTCGCATTGCTTTTATAAGCCTATTAGCGGTGTTTTCCGTGGATGTAATTTTTTTAATTAGAATATTTTTAATAAAGATTTTTTATTAAATATAATAAAAATACCTCTTAATATGCTTTTTTGTAGGTATGCTAGTTTGGGCCTTTGTTTACGCTTTTGCGTTTGTGTTATTAATTAATAGAGGAATTGCCTTTTAAAGCATTATTTTTAGTTTTTTTAGTAGGTTTTTAATAAATGCGGCTTTATAAGCGCCTTTATTAATAGCGTAATATTTAGCTTTTATAGTAAATTAAATAATTACGTTTTGCAGCTTTAAATTTTAGCTTATTAGGGAGCCCGTTATAAACGTTATTTATTTAAACGTGGATTTAAAGGTTAATTTATCGCTTATAAAGTTAACGTTAACGTGGATATGTAGTTTTAGTTTTTTATATTTAATATAGCGATAAAATCGAATGTATTTTATTTTTTTTATGCGGGTGCCTTAAAGGTATTATAGCATTTTATTTAAATGCTTAATATAATTAGGGGACGGGTTATTTATAAAGCGCGTTTATATTTTATTAGCGTATATTATATTTACGCGTAATTTAATTATAATATAATTCGTTTTCCCGAGCTTTTTAAAGTATTAATTTTTGGATTCCTAATTAACGTAGCCTTTAAATTTATAGGTTATTGCTATTAATCCCGGATTAATAGGAGTAGCAGCATTTTTAATATTTTAGCATCCGAGTTTTTTAAGTATTTAATTTAGATATTTATTTTATAATAATATAATATTATTATTTTCCTTTTAGATAATGCGTATTTTTAAATATTATTTAGCGGCATTTAGGTATTATAATTTTAGCTATTTATTTAGCTATTAAACTAATTTTTCGATAGCTTTAATATTTATATATATAATTATAAAATCGTTTATATAAAAGGTTAATACCGTTTTATTAGCCTTATTTTAATAAATAGCATTATCGGTTTTTAGTCTTATAAAGCCTAGTTTTTTTAGTTCCTCCCTGATTTTTTATTATTATTCGAAGCTATTTTGCTTTAAGCCGTATAAAGGGCGTAATAGCCTAATTATACTACTAAGAGTATAATTATATTATTATGCAATATTAGGGTGTTAAAATATAAATTTATTTAGGTATAAGAATTAGCGTATATAGATTTTTTTATTAAGCCGGCCTAATAAATAGGTTATAATAAAGTCGATTTAAAAGATCTTTTAGCTTTTGATTATAGTTATCGCGATTAAAACGCGGATATTTGTTTATTTAGTTATATTAGCGAAAAATTTTTTATAGTTAATTCCGAGGGTTTAAATAAAGCCCTAAGCTATAAGGCGTGCTTTTTATTTATTTATATTACCGGTAGAATTATATTTGGTTTTATATACCTATTTAGATTTAATTAGTGGCTTTTGCTTTAATTTAAAATTATTATAATCGAGGAATTCGAACGTTCCTTTTTTAAATAGCTTAATAATTTTTTTTGCTATAGCTTATTATTAATTAGGCTATTTTTGTGTATTTTTTGCCTAATTAATTAATAATAAATTAGGGTTATATTTAATAACTAGTATTAGGTGTTCGTCCTGCATTTATTTAAATAAGTTATTATTAATTAATAGTGGATAGTTATGCAAGCCTTTATTTAGCGTAATTAATAGCGCGCTTTTAAAGCTCGGATCTTTTTTATCGTCTTAATTATAGTCCCGTAAACTAATTAAAGCGTGGTAATTGTTTTTTGTGGTTATATTTATATATACGTAGGCATATTTATTTAAGCCTTAACGTGTTATAATATAGTTATAACTACCATTTGTATATGTTATAATATATTTAATTATGCTTTGCCGTATGGCTGTTTGCATTTAAGGGAAGCCGGCTTTAAATCGCCGCGCCTTTTATCCTTATTTTTTAGCTATATTCGGATTACGAGGCTTTATATAATAAATTAGCTTTAAAGTTTTATATCGCAGCTTGTTTTAAACGTGTTGCGGGAGTGATCTAATTATTTTTGACGGATCGGGCTAATTAGCGCTTTTATTAAGGTTTTTATAAAATATAATATAAGGAATTGTAATAAAGCGTGCTATATTTAATATATATATTTTGTATAGGTGTTCCTTAGCGTAACCTATAAGCATGCCTTTTAGCGCCTTTATTTATAATTTTTTAGCTTATACCCTGTTTTCCTTTAAGATGTGTATAAAAATACGCGATTTAAGGATCCTAAAATGCCTAATTAATAGGCGATTAAGTGCATTTTATAGCCAGAAGTTATTTTTTTAGCGTTGTTAAGGAGTAATTGGTTTTTTTTTAGTAGGTGTTATACGGTTTAAAACGATAACCTATGCTTTGCAGATTTTATCTTAAAATACCGTAAAAATATTTATTTAAATATAAATAGCGCGCGTATTGTTTTATAATATCCCGATCGCGCGTTTAGCGGCACCGTTCTGGTATTAGTTATTTAGTATTAATATAATTAATTCGATGCCTTTTTATTATGCGTAGTTATTAAAGAAGCCGCTGTTAAAGTTATTAGTTTTATTAATGCGAATTGCTTTAATTCGGCGCTTTTTTTTTTTGAGCTCGTATTGTAATTAAGCGATATATTTAAGGAAATCGTTTTATAAAATCTTTTTAGATAGAATATCGATAAAATATAATTTTATGGTTTTGCGGTATTTAATTAGTGTAAAATAACGATTATTATTTAAATTAACGGGTTTAATTTCTTTAATATTAGCTTATAATAAGGTCGCTGCAAAATTTGCGCGAATACGCACTAGATCTGCTAAATCGATTTAAATGCTTTTGGCTTTATCGCACGTATCGTATATTAATGTAGGAATGCTATTTAGATTTAAATTAATGCCTTTAGTGGCTTTAATCGTTTTAATTAGCCGTTTTTTATTTGGATGGCTTAGTCGACGATGCTATAAAATCGTTTATTTAATTAACGGCTTCGTTAATCCGTTTAATGCCATTAAAGCTTATATATAAAATAGTTTTTTTGCCTATATAGCTATAAAAACCACCTTTTTTTAGTTATATTAATAATAGTTAATACCTTGTTGTTAGGCGTTTTAATAAAATTATTATAAATTTTAAATCTAGCTTTATATAGCTTATTATTAAAAATTACTTTTAATAAAAAGTTTTTAACGTAATAATATTTTTTAAGCGTTAATTCCCGGCGCTCGCCTTTAAAACCGCGCTATATAGTTAATATTTGGCCGTATTTTATTGGATATATTATACCGTTCTTAATTATAATAGGTAACCGATTGTGTTTATTTAGTTTAATAATTGATTTAGCGATAAAATTAGCTTTATCGTTCGTAATATAAATATTAGCGCCTATATTTAATAGCTATCGTTTGCGTAAATCTAGCGCTTAAATAGCTATTAAAATAGGGAAACTATAGTGGTTCGTCCTATTTTATATATGCGGATCGTATTGCTTAGCAGGTTTATAATGCCTGCTATTAAGCGTAGCTTATAATTATTTAATTACGCCGGGAACGACCCGCGTATAGTAATTATAAGCTGTTTTTTGTTTTTTTTAATTTTTATTTTAATTAGAGAGTTTTATAATTTTGGCGCTTTTAAATTAATAAAGGGAATTATTATTTGTTATAATTAATAGTGACTGCTAGGAGCCCCGGAGTGCGCTTATAGACGCGCTTCCCCGGCTTTGGTTACGACCCGTATTACGCCTACGGTAATTGCCTTTATTTACGCTTAATCGCATAATTGCGTTTAATTACGTAAATAACTGTGTTAATTGCGTAAAATTAAAATTTTATTCGTTTATAGTTTTTTTATCGCGTTTTTTGGATTTATAGTTAATTCGCTAATAACCCTTTTTGCCGTAATATTAATATTTGCTGTTAATTTAACCGTTGCTATTGGTAAATAATAAATTGGCGTTATTTTTATTATTAATTGTTATTTTGTTTATAAATTTAGTTATAAAGGATTGCTAAAGTTATATAAGTCCTAATATAACGCCTTTTAGGAGGATAGCTAATTAATTTTTTTTTCGTTTTATTTATTTTAAAGCCTTGTTTTTAGTGGCTCCTAAATATAACTGGATTTGACTATTTAAAGTAAGGCGTTGATTATTAGCGTTATGGCTTTTTTATATATAGTGATTTTATTTGGTATTAAATTTGGCTGGGTTTTTGTTATTATAATCGAATTTATATAATTTCCTTAATAGTTTTTGCCTTTTTTCGATAGTAATAAAGTTAAATTAACGGCGGAAAGCATTTTTTATTTTTATGCCTATTAAATAATGTTTTATAATTATTAATGGCGTTTTATTATTAATTATAGCCAAAATTGCAGTAATAATAAGCTTTTTATTTAAAGGGTAAATAAGGGTTTTTGCGATTTATTTAGCGGCTTATTTATTAAATTTAAATAGTACTATATAAGCGCGATAATTAAAGGTTCCTGCTAAGAATTTTAATTTGTCGATTTTAAACTTAAAATCTTTTAAGCGAAGAATTAATATAATTAAAGCTTGCTTTAGTGTGCTATAGCTAATTATATTAGCGGCTGCTTGCCTTATATTTTTAGCTATGGCTTCCGTAGCACCCGCTATAATTATATGCTTTATAGTGCTTTAGCCAGCTTTATTAGCGATCGCCTAAGCAGCTATTATAGCGCTTTAATTACCTTTAGTTAAAGTGCCTTGGCTAGTAATATAGGGTTTTAGGTAACCTTTAATGCTAGGTGCTATATTATAATAAAAGAAGCTATTCGTAATATTTTTTATATTAATTATAGTGCTATTATATAGGAAATTAATAAGGATTTAGTGTATTTAGTATAAATAAACGGATCTGGCTATATAGGTTTAGTTAAATAAAGTGCATAAGATTTAATTGCCTTTTATAGCCTACCGGAAATAGCCGTTAAGCCGGAGGTCCCGGGGTCTGATGCTTTTATCCGTCAAAACGAGAGTTGTACCCATTACTTTAGTTAAAGTCAACTTTCCACACAGAGAGGGTGGGCGGGCATATGCAGCTCTTGCTGTGGACCTTTTAACTGATAACGTGCGTTGACCAATGTTGGCGGGGTCAAGAATAAGTGCCTATGTACATACCAGAAACGCGCCTTCATGTACCTGGTTAGAATTGTCGGATTTACGCAACATTTTGCATAGTCGACTTATTGCGTGTTCTACTAAATTGGTTCTCGGCATGTCATCCACTCGTATAGGTAAAAGATGAAAGGTGCTTGTAAAAGTGATTAGACTGATTCTACAGACGCTGAGTTGTTCCTATTATGAATATATTCGCCCGTAACGTGTACTTCAGGGTTCATCAGCTTAGCTAGCTATGTACCTTAGCTAGGTACCTAATGTAGCTCTTGGATGATCCGTGCACCGGAGCTCCAGTTCACCGATGCAGTGCTCAAGGCGCGCGACTCTGGTCAGCTCGTGATTGCTGTCAAATGACGACAATCCAACCGGGTTCCCAGATACAGTCCAGGCTACATTACCCAGGTAGATGATTCTAGACCACGACCTCTTTCACTGTCACGTCGCAACCTTTCATGAATATAGACTCTCCGAGCAAATAATCGCAACTCTCCCAGTCTCGCATTTGTACCATGGACCGAAAGCCTTGAAATGGATCCGTTTTCTTTCGTGACCTCCGAGTCGCTGGACTACCCGCTGAGTGTTCGCATGTAAGCTTGTATCGACTTGTCAGGCATCTTGCTGTTGGCCCAGTCGTGCTGACCAGAAGCGTTTTGATGATAGAATCAATCTTGAAGGCGAAGAGGCACCTCCGAAGCCCTCCGAACTCTTTCGAAGACCCGACCTAAGATACATCGGATCCAATACGAGGTGCGCAACGCCAGATTAGACTACACCTGGGGGCCAGTCATAGATCGCTAACTTTCCCTCCCCCACACGACAGTACACACTCCGATCTATATGTGACAGTCCAAGTCTGGGCGGGCTCCAAACCTCTGACGGTTCCTGTTCAGACATCCTACAAGTCATTCAAGAACGAGAGAAGGTGCAGGACCTCTAGCTCCAACTCAGGATACAGAGGCTAATCAGTGCTGTAGCTGGAACGAGTGGCTCGACATCCCGATTCCGTATAGATCTCTCCCGCTCAACTCGCGACTAGCAATCACGATATGGGACGTTTCGCCGACTGGGGGGAAGCAAGCACAGGGTCATGCCGTCCCCTTTGGCGGTACAACATTACCCTTATTCGACAAGGATAGTCAGGTGCAAAAGGGACGTTTGAAATGCCAGATACATAGACATCGACTTGCCGATGGTCACGATGGCACAACCACACCATGGTTGCCAGCACAACAGCGAGCTGGGGCAAGACAAGCGGCCACTACTCTGGACAAGGAAGCCGAAGAGCTCGAGCGCATGGATCGCTTGTTTAAAAAGTACGAGATGAACGAGATCCCCAAGGTTGAATGGCTCGACCAAATGGTTTGGCGATTATCAGAGAAACGCGGTGCGGCTGCCACGAGAAATTCTATCAAATCTCTGCAGAGGCAAACGAACAGCCAGCTGGGAACTGGCAATAAGCAGCAGAACAACAGTACTGACTCAAATGGGCACGACCTCTCATCGAATCCGTCCAAATTCACCCTTACGGTCGAACTGCCAAGATTCGACTTCCCAATCGTCTTTACTGATCACGAGTACCCACCACCACCGATTTCGTCTGTCCAGCATTTATCTGCTTCGCAGTCCCACATGGACCTCAAGCCACCCCCAGAGGTTCAGTTCGGGCCAGGCATCAATGGACCCGACGATGGGGGCCACCGCGTTGTTCGCATATACGATCCAGAAGTTGCGGCGCGGGACAATCCTGCAGAGGCCAAACACAGGCGCCTTGTTCGTAGCCAGCATCGCCACGGGACTTTAGATAAGGACCTAAAACCCAACGCCAAGGTTCGGGACGAGCTGAATGTGATAATGGCATATTCACCCACCCATAGCCTGACGCCAGAGGAGAAGGACCTTGTGTGGAAGTTTCGGTACCATTTGACCAAGGACAAGCGTGCGCTCACCAAATTTGTCAAATCAGTCAACTGGCAAGACCAGAGCGAATCAAAGCAAGCCATCCAAGTCATGAGCAAATGGATCGAAATCGACGTGGACGATGCCTTGGAACTTCTCGGACCAACGTTTGATGCTTCCGCCGTCCGCGCTTACTCGGTCGACCGTCTGAGAAAGGCCGATGACCATGAGTTACTACTATATCTACTGCAACTTGTACAAGCTCTTAAGTTCGAGCATGTGCCTACGAATACGGACGAGCCGGCTCTTGATACATCCTCATTGGCGTCGTTCTTAATCTCGAGGGCAGTTGAGAACTTCACACTAGCTACCTATTTCTATTGGTACCTTGTCGTGGAGTACGACGACAAGAGTCCTGAGCAAGGTCAAGAAGTGCGGACAATGTATGCCAAAGTCTTGCATGATTTCATGGTTGAGCTCGAGGCTAGACCTGGCGGTACTGACACCCGGAAAACCTTGCTCCAACAGGCTGAGCTTATAACTGTTTTGTCTAAAATTTCAGGCGAAATCAAGACATCGTCCGAGACCACTTCACGGAAAGTCGATAAAGTCAAGGCTTTCTTGGCAGATCCCAAGAACGAATTACTTGTTATTGACCCTCCTGTCCCACTTCCGTTGGATCCTTCAGTGCTGGTCACAGGTGTCGTCCCTGACGAGACTCGTGTCTTCAAGTCATCACTGTCTCCCATCATGGTGACATTCAAGACCGCTGCTGGTGGCAAATATCCCATGCTTTTCAAGACTGGTGATGACCTGAGGCAGGATCAGCTGGTGATTCAAATCATCACATTGATGGATCAATTGCTCCAGAAAGAGAATCTGGATTTGAAGTTATCACCATACAAGATCCTAGCCACCAGTACGACTGCTGGTGCATCGCAATTTGTGCCATCACAGACGTTTGCTGCAATCTCATCGAAGTACGGCAACAATCCAGCGCTTGCATATTTGAAGCAGCACAACCCTGATCCACGAGCGTACCAAGGTGTAAGAAAAGAGACACTCGAAACCTTTGTAAAATCCTGCGCCGGCTATTGCGTAATCACATATATACTTGGCGTGGGCGACCGGCATCTGGAAAACCTGCTACTAGCACCGGACGGCCACTTCTTTCACGCAGATTTCGGCTTCATCCTGGGACGTGATCCCAAGCCTTTTGCACCCGCGCTGAAATTGAGCAAAGAAATGGTGGATGCCATGGGTGGCTTTAGTCCCCCTAGTGAACTGTATCTGCAATTCAAGCAGTATTGCTTCCTTGCATTCACGGCCCTGCGGAAATCATCAAATCTGATATTGAATCTGTTTAGTCTCATGGTCCATGCCAACATACCTGACATCAAGATCGAGCCCGATAAGGCAGTCTTCAAGGTCAAGGAAAGATTTCATCTCGATCTCAAGGAGGAAGATGCGCTCCGACTTCTCGAGTCAATCATGGAGGACAGTTTGACTGGCTTCATGCCTGTCATGATCGATCGACTACACGCTTTCACGCAAGCACTGAGGACATAAATATTCCATCGTCCTGAGACTGGACGCATTTGCAACGCTGATGCATATAATGTAATGAATAAGATATTATGGACCAATTCTTCGGTGAATTACTCTTATGAGTAAGCTATGCGTCTTTCATTGTCTCAAATCGCGCGGTCAAAGGTGGTAGGTGACACAAAACTCGCTCTTGGTAAGTAATCCGGTCTTCTGTCTCATGAAGATTCAATGTTGCAGTGATGGACAGTCCTAAACACTCGGCCTGGTTCTTCGTTGATCCAGTCAAGTTCCTTAAAAGTGCTCATCTGACTACGAAGTTACAGCTGCAGGCTCCAAGTAGCGTCCGGCCGTTCATGAGCAGTCACGGTAAAAACCACCACGAGACATCCAAAACCATCCAGCTCTGGTGCTGTCGAAAGCTGCCGACAAGATGTCTTCACCTAGTAGAGCTAGTATAGAGTTGCCTCGGTGTCTTGATACGTGGTCAACGCTGCTTTTGTATGAATTCCAGCAAATGATGGACTCAGCTGTGAAACATTATAGCCACTCTTACATGATAGTGCAACGACGAATTGTTACCCAGCAAATCCCCGGACTGTATGACCTCGAGGTGGGAGGAGTTGCATTAGTCTACCAAGCGCGTCATTTTAGGTCACTTGGGATGCTTTGCTGCGGGATGGAGTTTGGGGGGTTCAACAAAACGACGAGACGTCAGTGGTGCCAACGTATCGGGTGCTCTACACCCTCTTTCGGGCACGCTTCCTAATCTCTCCCCTCCATCAGCTTGATGTGACCGGCATGATGCCACGGCAAACTCGACAACCTATGAGATCTACAGGGAACATAGCGACCATCTCTATTTCCAGAAATGAGATGGCCACCTTTTCAAGTCCAAGTAGCGAAAGAGAAGAAAGGAAAAGGAGTTAATGAAGTAAACTAGACTGCACGAGGAACGGCAGTTCCCATACTACGCGTCATTGAAGCATCTCGGCGGCACGGCGTGAACATCTATTCATGGGGGAGGATCTCGTACAACTCAACATTCTCATATTGCAGATTTCATGCATCTCCTTCTTTCCCGTCTTACAGTACTAGGAGCAAAGAGATAACTCGGGGGGAGGCGAACCGTCCCTCAGTCTAGATCAAGGCATGTCGTTTCCAGGTCGCCGACCACTGCCCCGGCCGCCGCGGATGATAAGCCGGGACAGAGCGCGCACCGCAGGTTCTCTGGGAACAAAAGAAAAGAGAGGGAGAGAGCATAAAAAAAAAAAGAGCATGTAGCCAAGAAGGCATTGTGCATCCCGTCATATGCATGGTGGATGGACAGCCGATTTGCAGACCATTACCCCATTCTCTAACCCAGCACGACTCATTCCCTCTCTCGTCAGCAATAATACTACGTAGAAATATACAAGTGCATGCATAGGGGAGAAAGAGACAAGAGAGGGAATGGGGCAGCCCGGTCTGTCGATCATTCTCTTTCCGCAAGCTGCCCTGCAAGCCACAAAAAAAAGAAACCCCCCTTGGGTGACACGAGGTGATGCGTTCAACGCATGTGGGTAGATGTGGTACCGATTCGAGGGACAAGCAGTAGGCACGACAAGGCAGAAGAACCATTTCGTGTTGTGGGCCAAAGAAGAAAAGAGGCAAAGAGGCAGATCCTCGTTCCCCCTACACAACGTGGGACTAACCTAGAGGGTTTTAGGAATTAAACTTTACTATTGAGTGTGGAAACTATGTCAAGGTCTGTATATACTGGGTACTGGATATTTGGGCACTCGGTACCGGGAGAGAGTTTAGTAGGGTATGTTCTGATGGCTGGGCTTGTTTGCTGACTGGCTGCTTGCTTGCTGCAAATACCATGTATACGTATTCGTAGGTAGCACGCAGATCACTGACGCAAGTGTTGGCCCAATCATCAAGACCATGATCGACCGTCAACGGGCGGAAGTGGGGAATCATATTACCCATAATTCTTTCTGGACTCCGCTGATGAGAAGAGAGAGAGAGAGAAGTCCTCTTCCCAACCCACCCCCCGACAGCCCGCCAGGCTCACCGGCGGCGGTCCGTGAGCAGCAAGCAAGAGGGTTCAAAAAAGGACGATTGGGGGTTACATCCATGTCAGACCGGGGGGGTTAATACTGGAGGGTCTGACAGTTCGGAAAATGGGGGTTTTTTTGGTGGTCATTGGCTTGTCACCTACCATACAGTGATACATGGTACTCAAGATACTGCAGACGGTACCTACATGCCATACACTTCAATCAAAAAGGACATGCGGATTCTAACAGTAGTTTTGGTCTGACAAGCGGGTCTCTCTCTTGAACCTCCCTAAGCGGACATCGAACGACTCAAGAGCCATTTTATGGACCACATCTTGCCACATTTTCCCACCCCCAAGAGCAAGAACTGGTCGATCGTCAAGAGGTTCGTTCTGGACTTATGATCGCCCAAGCGGCTCCCCAACGGGAGATGGGATTGGAGTACTAGAGAAGGAGAGAGGGGCGTCGATCGGTTCACTCCACCATATTATGGCAGGGTCAGATAACTTTGATAATATCATGATATTGCTAACCACGTACTACCTATACGTTGTGCTACGTTGCAAATCTCTACGTAGGCAGATTTTGACTCATCCGATACTAGACCGAGTATTGATGCCCAGCAGTCCGTGAACCATCCCAATTCCGATTCTCACGGCATCACGATGGAGTGAAAAAGTAATCAGCTGGGTTGCGTTTGTGAGAAATGATGCCTGCGCGATGCATACACAGTACGCGTCTGACTCGCATCCGTTTTTTTAGCTTGACCAGGAGTAAAATGCCTTTACTTATCCGCACGGCCTTGTGAACTCTAAACATTGGCTCAGCCTGACCGAAAGATATCTGGTTCTGTGTTTGTGGATATGAGATGATCACGATGACAAGTTCCTGATACCTCGAATAGATGACGAAATAAGCGACTTTAACCTGTTTCTACAATATCATGCAACATGTTGGGAACGACATGGAATTGAAACATGGGATATTCTGGTGTCCTTGGACCTGTCATTCGTCTCGCTTGACCGTAATAAGAGCACCTGTTCTTGAAAAGGTTACTGTACAACTCGTTTGAAGGCTCAAAAGACATGAACTGTAGATAGACTCCTTCAAGCTGAGCCAATATATCAAGTTTCGTTTCAACAGAATACCGTTACCTTTGGAGACTGGTGTGAAACTTAAGAAACGAATGATATTCAAATTGAAATTGAACACGGACGAAACTCCTAGATGTGACTTGAGAATAGCATTTCACTACTCCTCCCAATTTTGCTGTAGTGATTCCATAAACAGGAAAGGGACTGCAGAGCTCTATGTAACATGCTGGTCACAATTGAAGTGAATTGCTAATTGATAATTCGATGGCATGGTGTGGCCAATATCTCAAAAGCCATCATATGAGAAAAATGTACAATTGACGCGAAGATCACGATACTAAAGTTATCCGTCAAGAAGAAGAAAAGAAGAGGAAGATGAAAAGGCAATTTCGCCGAGCATGAACCGCTCGTATCCTTTCAAACATGGATTTTTCCCGATACTATCTCAGTGGTCTTTCAACTGACAAATGCCAAAATATCCTCTCGTTGCACCATTCCCAGCATCATAGATAAGCATCGCACCTATGCTCTTGATTGGAGGGCTGCAGTCCTGGTGGTAGTAGTAGGTATATCCACCAATGTGACGAGTTCTCGAACGATGGTGAACAGACATTACACAAGCCTCAATATATGACTACGTATTGTATAGACCACATGTGCATCGGCATATTGATAGATGAGTCAAATTCGGTGTCACAGCCTATATACGGCAGATTGTGTCCGATGCGAGACAAGATTACCAAAAGTGACACGAGATACACTGCCGCAAATGTGGTCCTCAGTATTGATTGTATTTGCTTGTTCTACACGTGCGTTGATGCCTTTTTTTTTCTTTTTGCTATTTTGCTTTTTTTCCCACCATGGCGCCAATTCCGCTCCTAACCCCCCGAAACGTCTTTTTCCGTATCTCGAACGGATAAGGAACCCTAGGGGCCCGAGTGCCAGGTAAAATAACTGGGGACCGGGGGTGGGAGATTTTGAATAGAACCAAAAAGACCTTACCGATTGGTAGGGATCCGGTTCACGTTATCTCACAATGTGGAGAGACAAGAGGTAGGCTGGTAGGGAGGGAAAAGAAGAGAAAAAAAAAAAAAAAGAGCCTTGTCAACCTGCATACACATATGTACGTACTACGGTACCCAGCAAAGGCCGACGACGACGACGCCTCCCCCCCTCCCCTCCCACTTTGAAAGAAAGCAATACCGGCCATGTGGGCGGGCGGGCGGGCGAGCAAGGCTTCTGGCTTTTGCTTTCCGGTAATCCGCCTGCATGGGGAGGAGTTCAATATGCATGTTATGGCATGGCCCTCCTCAGAGATGCATGGCTCCGGCTGTCGATCATTGACAAAGCAGACAAAGAAAAACGAAAGGCAGAGACGAACAAGACAAAAGAAAAAGAGAGTTTCCTGGTAATACCTGGCCAGTGGAACCCCCCTGTCTGTCTGTCTGTCTGTCTCTGCCTGTATGGTCAAGTCTTTGTAAAGTTTTCTTTGCAGGTACGAGCATGGCATAGGTAAGAGGGCAAATCTTTTCAATTGTACCTTTGGTTTGCACCAGTAGAAGCAATCATTAGGTGAATAAAGGAATTTTGCCTAGTCGAGCTTAATTTCAGGTAAAATGTACAGTGATGCCTTTTTATCTGTCTTGTCGAGATGGAGGGAATACGCTATAGTACGGTCAGAGGAAACACTGCGGCACCTGCGGCACGCTCTTTCGAAATTCCCACTAATTAATGACTTGTATGTACTTTGTAGACACGTGGGAAAGCATGGGCTCGAGGTTCATTTTAGCTTTTATTTTCCAGCCGTCGGACGATTTTGCAGCAAGGGGGGGAAAAGAAAGCAATGTCTTTTCCCTGGCGCCTGGGTCAGGCTTTTGAAATTTCC